AAGTCACTGACATCAAAACCACAGAGAGCAACATCTTCCTAGAGCATGAAGAAAAATACTGCCAAGCAAACCAGTCTGGGAGTGGCAACATTACAGAGTGGATTAGCTCTGGAGCTGTGCAAGGACACGGGAATCTCTCTTAGGATACTGGGAAGAAACATAGCCCAAGGTAAGACTGAGCCCTCTGTGAGCTGAGCCCCAGCAGGCCCAGGCTGTGATTTGACAGATGGTGGGTAAGCACTGACCCAGCACAGAAGGGAAAGGGAACCTCACCAAACATCACTGCTAGATGGAGAATGGTTGGAGGAGAGAGGAACTGGGATGGAAGATACATCCAGCATGCCCCTGGCTATTTGCATAATTTAGAAATAGCACAAAGTAAATATTTACAGCCAGCGGTCCTGCACAGGTCACAACTTTTATCTGGGCCAGTTTCAGTCGAGGGGGAAGGTACCACGTCCAGTTAACAACCTGACACCCAGAACACTGATTCAGATTTGACTAAAAAACATAAATGACTTGAAGAGTTCAGGAGTGGCATCCAGGAAACGTTTGTTTGCATTATGAAACCACTGTCTGGGTACAAGTCTGTTCTCGAGATGGTTCTGTGCTGCCCTGCACCTGCACGGGGAACAGATCCCTTCCAGCTCCAACAACTGGTACAATCCTAGAGGTAAGCATTTACACACGCTGCAACTGCAAATAGTATTTGCAATCCTGCAAGAAAACCTCCATTCAAATCATTTTCTAGGCAATTATAAAGGAAGAGGAATAAGACATTTCACCGAAACTTTGGCTGAGAGCCTTGAATGAGTAAATGAAATGCCAATATTAAGATCGTAATACGGAAAAAAAAATAGACTGTATTGCTCAGAAGAAGATTTTCAGTTGCTTTCATGCATTTCACAGCAGCAGGAGCAGAGGCAGCTCTCCCTCCCTGTGAGCATCCCTCATTCATTCTGAGAAATGAAATAACTCTAAAGGTGAAGTTACAGAGGCACAAGAACTGGGGAAGGGACTCGAGGGGGGAAACTGAGAGGAGCTTTAGGGTCTGTCCCTACTTTCACCCCAGGTTTTGAGAGCATTTTGCAGATCCTTTTTGATCACAATGAATAACGTGTCTGCACAGAAGAAGCAACTGAGTGGTTGTAGGAGACAAACTGTATTTAAAATAAAACAGCAGCAGCACAATGCAGAAAAGTGAATATTCTCTGGCTCTGTGTTCACAATTTCAGTCTGAGGAGTTACTTTAATTGATTCATGCAATGATTAACAAGCTAGAGAGAAGTAACACTTTTGGAAGCAAACACTCATAACATCCTCTCCACATGTTAAAAAATGCACATGGTAACTCTTAGGAAGAAGATTCCAAAATACTGCTCTTTCCCAAGTTTCAGCAATAAATTGAGCTATTTTAGTGACCAGTATCAAAGAACACATTTCAAACAGGCAAATTATACTGCACATAAATCACAACACAACTTTTTTTTTCTCCTCAGCAGCCTATATCCTATATCACAAAGAAAAGCCACATCAAGAAAAAAATCAACCCTGCTTTGGCAAAAAGGGTCCCTGCTGTTGGCTTGTTCCCCCTGAACTCTGGAATTCTTGGGATAAGCACGAAGATCTTTCATCCCCCAACGCGAGACACCAGATTTCAGCTAACCAGAGATTCACTTGGAATATCACCGACTTCCTTTCCAAATGTCAAGGTTGTTTAGTTAATCAGGAATAACAACACTCTGCAGGATAAAATCCCAGTGCAAAACTGCACCAGATCTGCACAGTCCTCGTGTGCAGTGGCACAACTGTGTCCACTTATCCAGGCACTTGCACTGTGCCCGTGGCCATCCCACTTATCACAACAGCAATGTGCTTTTTAAATAACAGCACTATTTTCTCCCTCCCAGATCATACTGTATAGGATAAAAATCCCCATCTGAGCTCTAACAGCTCATAATCATAGGGCCATACCTAAAATTAATGCATAATACAATAATGCTGCCACAAAACCGAGTCTTCGGGACTAGACATCCCCGCTGCAATAATCTGTGTAAGGTTACACCAATATTTAGAGCCAGGAAAAGGTACCAGACTTATTAAGATCGTATCTGTGAAACAGGAAGAAGCAGGTTTTGGACAACAACAGATTGTTCAGACTATCCACTCGCTCACTTGAGCCCAACACTGACAGCTCACCCATCCACCTAGAACCTGGTCTAACTGCAACCAACTTGATAACCCACAGGTTTGTTAAGCACAGAAAAAAAATCAGCAAGTTCTTTACCATCAAGTCAGAACAATTCTAGCAAAAAGCCACTTCCATTGTGCCCCGCAGCAGCCCGGAGATGACAGGAGCCGGGGATGTTTACAGGTCCCATATGAATAATTCAGCGTCAGCATCAGCAACAACTCCCCAGCACTGACAGCGGCCGCGATGCTCCCCGGACACGGAGCAGCGGCCGCAGCACATCCTGGGGAAGCACCGCGCTCCGAGGGGCCGCTTTTGAAGATCTGGCCCTTTTTTTTTTTTTTTTTTTTTTTTTTTTTTAACTCGCACTTCTCCTCCCCGCACAGCGCCCAAGGATGCACACCCAGCAGCACCGACGCTCCGGGATTTCTCCAAGAATTCCCCCGCCGGGGCCGCCCCTCCGTGCCCCTCGTGCCCCCCGGGGCCTCCCCGCGCTCCCACCGCCCCAATGGGGGGAACCCCCGCGGGCACCGCGCCCCTGACCCGCCCACCCCTCACACCCCCGGCCGCTCCCACACGGCCCCCACGGCCCCAGCGCGCTCCCCGGAGACCGCAGCGCTGCCCGTGAGGAGGACGGGATGGCCGGGCCCCCGCCTCTTCCCCCTCCTCCTCCTCCTCCTCCTCCTCCTCCTCCTCCTCCTCCTCCTCCTCCTCCTGCTGCTCGCAGCGCAGGCGCCTGTCCTGCTGCCCCTCGCGCCGCCTCGCGGGGCCCCCTGCGCTACCGAGGCGCGGCGCGGGGCGGCCCGGGCGGCGGGTGCCGGCGGGTCCCGGCGAGGCTGGGCGGGCGCGGCGATCTCACCTCACCCTCAGCGCCGCCGCCGCCGCCATCTTGCCTCCCCTCCCCCGGCCCCGCGCGCTCCGCCCCCTCCCGCCGGGTCCTGGCAGGTACCAAACAAACCGCCGCTCCGCCGCCCGCTGCCTTTCACCGGACGCGGCGGGTCCCCCCTTCCTCCCGCCGCGCCGGCCTGTGGCGGTGCACGGGAAGAGACAGGCTGAGAAAAGTCACGACGGAGCGCGGTGGTGAGAGGACGGGGTGCTATGCCCCTTCCAGGACCGCGGGCCGGTGCGGCGGGGCGGGGCTGCCCCCCCGCTCTGAGGGGCCGGGGGGGGGCGCGGCCGCCATGAGGCGAGCGGGGCCCGGCCCGTGAGGGGCTGCACGGACCGGCTGCGGGGCGGGAGCCGCAGCGCCCCGTTGTGCCCCGGTATAAATCGATAATAACCCATAACGGGCCCCCGTGCCCGTGAATGCGCCCTCAGGAGCCCGTCCCGGGCCCGGAGAATCGCCCGGTCCCGCCACAGCCTCCCGCGCTGTACCTGAGGTCGCGCCCCTGCTCTGGCGACGAATGACTTCTGAAACATGTGAGAGAGGTTTAAATCTCATTAAATGTCCGTTTATTCCTAGCCCAGAATGAAGAATGTAACTCGTTCCCTGCAGCCTCAGTAAAGAGTTTCTCCACTGTGTCCTACCTGCAAATGTGTATCTCAGGACGTGCTAAAATCACAAATAAATCTCTAATCAGGTTTACCATGGGAAAAGAAGCGTACCATTAGGCAAGATTAAATGATCACGTTGCCACAATTTTCCACTAAACATGAGAAGCAGGATGGGTGCCCACACAATGATTTATTGAGACTCATGAAGCAGGGGCTCAGCCTGTGGCAAAGGGGATCCCTCAGAAAACACGTGTTGCACTAAGGACTGTGTTATCACAGTGGTTAAAGTGCCACGTTAAGGTGACACGGCCCATTTCCAGGCTGATGGTTGCAATCTCCAATCCCAGCACAAGCCAGTGACTCCCTCTGTTCACTTGGAAGTTAAAGGTGCCCAAATAAGAGTGAGTGAAGACCAGTCAGACACACACCTGGTGAGGGCTGAGCTGCTCCTCAGACACTGAACTCTGAATTATTTTCACCATTTATGCTTTAACCCACCCAGCTCCCACACTCCACCATTGCTCCGCACACTTGTCTTCCATGTTGCCTGTTTGCCTGGAAAAACAAAGTTTCCAATTGCATCCGATTGCCCTTTTCATGTTTATTTTAACACTTCCTGTCTCCTCCTGCTCTGCAGCCTTCTCCAGTGCTCGCCTTCACTTCTAAGCCATATCCGAACGTTTTCCCGCCGGGATAGCCCACAGACCTGCAGATTGCACGACGAGCCTGAAGATACATTCCTTCCTCCTGCCCCGCTTTTGAGCTTTCCCTTAAGCCGCGGCTCTTCCACAGCAGCGATAAAAGGTACTACAGCTGAAAAGCCCAACTTTAGTCACCATTAGTCACCCTGGACGTACCAGCAGGGTCAGGGCAGTGACCCCTTTCCCCGCCGACCTCCCCACGGGAACAGCCCCCGTTCACCGCCCCGGCTGGGACCGGGCCAGGGCAGGTCCTGCTCCTGCTCCTGCCCTGCCTGGCCGCCCTGGAGCGGCAGTGCCGGGGTCCGTTTCCTGGGAAGCACAGCCGAGGCCCGTTTCCCAGGAAACGCGGGAGCGGCACAGCCGGGCCCCGTTTCCCCGGGAGCGGTGGAGCCGGGCCCGTTTCTCGGACAGCCCTGGAGCCGCACGGCTGGAATACACGTTCTGGAGCAGCAACGCGCCGTTTCCGCGGCCGAGCGGCCCCGCCCCGGGGCGGGACCGGAGAGGAGGGCTCGGGGTGGGGAGGTGAGGGGGTTGGACGGGACCTTTCGTGGCCGGAACCTCGGTGCCGCGGCCGCCGTTTCCGTCCGGCGGGGCGGCTCTGCAGGCCGGTCGCCATGGCAGCGGCGGCGCTGCTGGCGGTGCTGGCGGTGCCGCTCCCGCTCCTCCTGCTCCTCCCGCTCCTCCCGCTCCTCCTCGGGGCCGCGCGCCGCCTGCGCCGGGCGCGCTCCCGACCGGGGGGGCCCCGCGCGCTCCCGCGGGGCGGGCGCGCGCTCGTGGTGACGGCGCACCCCGATGACGAGGCGATGTTCTTCGCCCCCGCCCTGCTCGGCCTGCGCAGGGCCGGGGCCGCCCCCGCCGTGCTCTGCTGCTCCGCAGGTGAGCGGGGACACACACACACACCCACACACACACACCCCGGCACGGGGAGCCCGCAGGGATGGCCCCCCTCCACTCCCACTGTGTGCGGCATCGCGGCGTGGAAGGACCCCCCACCCACACCGGCTGTGGGGAAACTGAGGCGCGGAGCGGCCATGCCTGCCCTCCCCCTGCCCCTTTCCTTTCCAAGAGCGTGTGGTGACAGGACAAGGGGCAGTGGGGTCAAATCGAGTGATTTAGATCAGATATTAGGAAAACATTCTTCCCTGTGAGAGTGGTGAGGCACTGGAATGCTGCCTCGGGAAGTTGTGGCTGCCCCATCCCTGGAAGTGTCCAAGGCCAGGTTGGACGGGGCTTGGAGCAACCTGGGATAGTGGAAGGTGTCCCTGCCCATGGCAGGGGGCAGAACTGGATGATCTTCAAGCTTCCTTCCAACCCAAAATCATTCTATGATTCTTCGTCCATTCCTCTTTCATCCTTCCTCCATCCATGATCATTACTCAAGGACAAGAGGGCACAGTCTTCATCTGTGCCAGGGAAGATTCAGGTTGGCCATTAGAAAGAATTTCTTCACAGTCAGAGTAATTAGAGATTGGAATGGGATGCCCAGGGAGCTGGTGGAGTCACCATCCCTGGAGGTGTTTAAGGAAGGACAGGACGTGGCACTGAGTGCTCTGGGCTGGGGGACAAAGTGGTGATTGGCCAAAGGCTGGACTTGATCCCAGAGGTCTTTTCCAACCTGATGGATTCTGTGGTTCTGTGAATGGCCTAAAGCTGTGCCAGGGGAGGTGTGGGTTGGATATTAGGAAAAGGTTCTTCCCTCAGAGGGTGGTCAGGCACTGTGACTTTCTGCAGGGTAACCATGGCAGGGGCTTGGAACAAGATGGCTTTAGAACTCCCTTCCAACCCAAACCATTCCATGATTCCATGACTGGTTGCAGCAGTAGCAAAATCCCCCAGTGTCTACCCAGAGGTTTCACAGTCCATCCCCTGTGGCAGAGCTGAGGCACTTTCAAACCGTGTGGAAGTATCAGTGGGCTGTAAAAGGTGCTGTCTGGCACAACCTTTTGGCGTCTCCTTGTAATTCTGTCATCCTGCAGGGGACCTACTTGGATGATCCAGGTTTAATATCACGATACATTCTCTGTAACTCACCTAAAAATAGCCTTGGCATAACAATCCCCCCCGTGGAACAATGGGCCGGAAGGGAATGGGGCCGGGTTGTCCCTCAGGTGACCTGGAGGCAGCCCCGGCTGTGCTGCAGACAAACCTTTGTTCCCCAGAACGCCCGGGGTGGTGCCTCAGCCTGTGGGGTCTCTGTCTGAGCTGCATCAGCTTCCCTTCAAATCGCTTTTTCCTGAGTCATTGGTGTAATTTAGGCTTGTTTGTTTATTTTTTTCCTGTCTGCCAGGAACATGGAAATAGCAGTGTCCCTTTGTAGCAGCCTCTTACATATTTTAAGACTGTTATCTGCCTTTTCTGCCTTATCTTCTCCAGACTAAACAACCTGATTTCTTGCAATCTTTCCTCACAGATCATGTTTTCTAAACCTCTGATCATTCTCCTTTGGACTCTTCCAGTTGGTTCACATCTTTCTTTTGAGGGGCAATGATCAAAAACTGGAAGCAGCACTCCTGCTGAGGCCTTGCTGGGGCTGAACAGAGTGGAAAGATTTTTACAGGCTCCACTGTCTGCCCAGGACAAGAATTTTTCACACTTTTCTGCTCTTCTCATGATCATCTAAAGCTCCAGATTTTTATTCTGCAGAACTGACAACTTATCAGTTATTTCATTGTTTAGGGTTTTGTGCACAAGACACAATCCCATTGACACTGAGCTTTGAGACCTTATTCCTGTACCAGAATTCATGAGTGAAAACATTTTTGGTGTTTGTTCCGAGGAGTATCTTGGGCCACAAACACATCTCCCACTGAAAACACCCCCCCTGTGCCTTTGGAAGCTCCAGCTACTTCACTTCCAACTCCTCTGTTGTCTCCAAAGCTTTCTGTCACAACAGACCATGTAGGTGAGAAGACAGGGATTGAGCTGTTGTTGAACCCAGTGCTGATCCCTCTGCACCTCCCACTGCAGGTTTGCTGCAGAGCTCTCCGTTGTTTCTGCTCAGGGACAAAGGTCCGTGGATCCCCTTTGGCTTTTCCACAGCTGTGGGAACATTACTGAAGTGCAGCTCTGCTATTTCAGTTTTGGGCACTCAGACACTGCTGCTGTTGGAGAACTCCCTGAAGAAGTGTCGTGTTCCTGCGTGTTTTGTTGGATTTTCACTTTTCTTTACTCCTGGTTCAGTGACATGAAGCGTGAATTGTGTTTGACGTTGACGTTGCCTCCCATCGACTCTCTCTGTGTCTTTGTAAGGGAATGAGCAGCCCATGTAGGAGACCACCTTCATGAGCTAATAGATTTTTCTTTAAAAAGCCTCTTATTAGTCTTTTGGGTGATTCAGATGGTTCATCCTCTCATTGTTTGTGTGATTGATGATGACAAGTGAGGTGATCAAAGACTCTGCAAGTTGTAACACCGAGACAAAATCGTTACTTAAAAACCATTGTACTTGCAGTTTTCAGATATCAATCAAAATGACTTAGAAATGAATTAGAATTACAGCACTGTGAAAAAAATCAGTCTTTACACGCTGAATAACCTTAGATTAAATTAATAAGTCAGTACAAATGTGCCTTGCTCTCTGTAGTGGCTGACTCTCTATTGTGAGTGCTCCATGGATGAGGTCCAGTAGCATCAGCTATTCAGCTGGTTTTGCTCTCAATAGTTTTCCATCTTTTCTTGTTATAGCATTTCTATATTCCTGATGTCCCGACACATCTCTCAAGCTGTGGATCTGTTCCTCTGAGTTCAGGAGAAGTCAGGTATTTTGAGAGCAGTGGTACTGTTTGGATAAAACATCACCTGCAGTCAGTTATTCCCCTGCATTGCAGCAAAAGCTGTACCTTAAAACACTCCTGTTGTTAATGGCCTGGTACAACACCGGCCTGAAGTAAATCCTGCTGTACTCATCCAATCCTGCTCGTGAAGGTGCACTTCAATTCATCCTGGAAGCTGCAACTTGCCATCCCAGGTTCCCAGAGCTGAGCTCACGTGTTCCTCAGCAAACCCACACTCAGTCTCCAAAGCCATTCACTCCCAGGCTGCAGGAAGAGGCTTTTTTTTTTTTTCTAGTTACTCTTTCCCTCTTTGAAAATTTTACAAAGCTTGCTAGTGATGGCTCGGATTGCAGCCCTGCTCCAGAGAAATGCTCGATTTAGATGACTCACACTCACAACAATAAAAAGTTCTCGTGTAATTCAAGACAGCTGGCTACAGACTTGAATCACACATTAATACTCAGCTGCTTTTTTTTTTTTTTTTTTTTTCATTTTATTGCTTCAAAGTTAAAATTGGTTTGCAAGTTCTGCCCTGCATAGAGCAGCATTCTGGAAGGGGCATCAGAGCTCTGGCATGGACTTTGCATGGCTGATGCTAAGAAAAAATAAGAGAATGTCAGGGCAGAAGAAAATAACTCAGTGAAGAAGGAGGCAGTGTTTTAATATAATGAATCCCATTTCCCTGCTAGCAGTTGGTCTCTGTTACAACTTTTCCCAGCTGCCTTATCTCAGTTAGGTTTCCCTGGGGTTTGTCCCCTGCCATGTGTCTGTTCCTGAGCTGAGGCCCCTTCGTTTAGTCTGTGATCGTCACCTTTGATGCTTTGAGAAAGAAGAGAGGAATTCTTTCCAAGCAAACCTAAACTGAGAAGGTGCTGCTGTGTTTGCTGTTTTCAGGAAATTATTACAATCAAGGAGAGATCCGTAAGAAAGAGCTGGAGCAGAGCTGTCGTGTCCTGGGGATTCCTGAGTCCGATGTCACAGTCGTTGATCACAGGTAACTGGTTTCCATTTCCAGCATAATTCCACTGCAGCTTTGAAGAGGGATGAAGTTCACTGTAACATTCAGGAAAGCTGACTGTGTCATTCTAAAAAGCCTCGAGGAATCTCAAGAAAGACCACATTAGATATTTCGTTAATTCTTCACATTAATTAATGCAAAAGACAATTCAAGTGTGTAATGGGGATCATAATTCCTAAGTTAAGCTCTGTTCATCCAGCATCTGCAATAATAATAACCACACTTGGGGTCTGGCATGGTGTGTTTGGGCAGCATGATCACATTTTGTTGTGTAACAACTTGTTGCAGTGTTGTACAGACAGTTACAAATTCCCTGAATTGCCTGTGGCAGGTTTGTCTGTAAGCTGTTCTCTGCAGGGTTACTGTGGAATTCTATTATATTTATAATCTGCCTAAGTCCTGGCTAAAGACAAAAGTGAATTGCAGTACTAAGGACAGTCCACACTAAACATGACAGTAAGATTCTTCAAAACTAAACCGTGCAAGATTTCTGTTTTTCTAAGGTGTGGTGTTTTCTCCTTGAGTTGTGTGTAGCTACAGATGTAGGTGACAAGACTGACACTTCTTTGTTCAGGAACTCCCTTCTGGAAAGGTGATTTAACACTTTGAATCAGTGAAACCTGGAACTAGTGTTATAAAGTCCTCTTCAGTTGCCTTGTCTATCTGTAGGAGCTGAACTGGATACTGATTGCTAGGAAGCACGATACAAGTGGTTGTTTCACCTGTAAACAGCTATCACACAATCCATAAAGCATATTTCTGTTTGTGAGGAAATAATAACAACATTTTGATTTAAAGCCACTCCAACTAGAAGAGTCAGAGCTGAAAAAAAAATCTGGCTCCAGGCAGGCCCTTTTCCCATGAACATATTTTCCCTTGAGCTAAGGCAACAGAAACCACAGTCCAGAGTATGAATCTTTTTGAGTTCTTTGCTTTTTTTAGCTTTAGTTTTCTCTCCAACTTTTCGGCTCGCTTAGGAAAACAGCATAGGAGTTGTTTTTCCTTTGGAATGAAAAGAGATGTTTCCGTTCATTTCACACGAACTGGCTTTGGAGAACTGCAAGTTTTGTAGTACAAACACAGGACAATGCCCAGAACATTTTGGGGAGGAATAAGGAAAAAAGCTGCTAAGCATAAATTCTGCTCAATGAACCATCTTTTGAAGTTAGCAGGGGCCAGAAGGCACTTCATCGTGTAACACAGCATGAGGTTGGTTGGTGTGTGAGGCAGTTCTGACACTGCTCCGTCACCCCCCTTACAAACACAGCCCAGAGAGCTGCTTTGGGCAAGGAAATCCTGGGTTTGCCCACCCTTGGCAGGAAGGTGAGGGCCCTTTCAGAGAAATGCCTTGGATGGTGCCTCTTTCTCCCCTTCATCACACATTTCTGTAAGTAGTGACTGACATGTGATTTCCCCCAGTGAATGCAGCGCCTGAAGTGACAGATCCATCCCCCTGGCCAGAGCTGGGCTAGAATGTACATCATTGTTCTGGGATACAATGGGTTTACATTTGAGGTCTTTATCTCTGAGTTAGATTGCTTTGAGATAACCATCAAATCCCTTGTTGTGCAATTGGGGAGTGAACTGAAGTTCATGATGAATTTTGCTCAGAGTTTACACACCAAGTTAAGTGTGTTTACAGTGCATTATTTGCTGTGCTGTTACTCACCACTTGGATGCTCTTCATGCAAAACATCTGTGGATCAGGTGTTAGCAAACTGGTGGAGGATCAGGCTGAATTTCTAGGTGACACTGAATTTTTAGAGGAGCTCATTTTTAGATGCAGTTTAGACAAAACACTGGGACTCAGGGTTCTTGAAACTTACTCAGAGTTCCTGGATTCCTTAAGCTCAGTGCCATTCCTATGTCTCTTAAGGCTTACATGGTCTACAGATTATACAAAAATATTTGTTAGTATGGCATGATGTGAAACTTGCTAAATCAATACAATATTTACCACTAGATTTCAGTGTAAATTCACATCTACAGAATCCACCTCAGGAGGCTGTTCCTCCTTAGCATTTTGTCTGCTGTAAGGCACTGTTTTAAATCAGAGCCCTTTGGCTTCTTTTGTTCCCTTCTGAACTCTTGAGAAGATAATTTGCCACCGATGTAAAGAACTAGCACATTGCTTCAGGAGTGCTGCTGGCCTGCTGCCCATCTCACATTGCTTACACAAACACTGCATGCTTTACATTATCCCAGCTGCAGCTTTGTGTTTTGGTAAGGAAAGCCCAAAGGATTGCTGGGTCTGGATCTGCTCCAGCCATTGTAGTGTGGAGCTGAGTCATGCTGCTTCCTCTTTCTGTGCATGACCTACAAGTGAGTGAGTCGAATTTTTCAAGATGTCAAAGGGGAAATAGGTCTGCAAAGCCAGGTGATTGACTTGCTCTGCCATCTCACTTGGCCAGGCAGGTATAAAATCAACATGACATTTTGAATGACATTTGTGAATGTGCGAAGAGAAAGCTTTAGTCAGTCAGCCTGGGATGAGATCTCTGTTAAAGACCAAATCATAATTAAGCAGTCCTTGCTTTAAACAATGACTCTCAAGCATAGCCAGGATTCCCAGGGCAGGACCAGCTCAGTCCCTATCTCACAACTGCTCTGCACTGATCCTTCAGGAGGTGTGTTGGATGTTGTCACTGTGTTTGTTATCTAAGACAACTCAGATGTGCACAAATATGGTCCCAAACTGTACCCACATTTCAGCCCTAAAGATCTGAATCTCCTACAGAAAAGTTCTTTGCTGCAGGGGACGTGTCCAGGAGTGGGCAGGGGCAGGAATGGCCGGGCAGTGCCCATGTGTGGGCATGCAGAGATGCTCCAGACTAGCTTAGATCAGCTCTGGACTCTTCCTACCTGTGACTAGCACAGGTCAGGCCCCAGATTTGCAGAGGTGTCCCCTGAGCTGGCTTGTCATAGTCAGAGCTCCAACACTGCACCAACTGAACAGCTGGTTTTGGGGGAGAAAAGTTTAACAGGCCACTTTTGTTGTCATTCTCACACAAGGCTGAATACCAGAATTTGGGCTTGTGTTGCTCAAAGTTAATTTCTGCACAGTCAGAATTATTCCTGCTGCTGGATGAGGGAAGAGTAGCAAGACAATGAGTTCTGAAACTCATGTGAGATAAAAGTCACTTCATTAATTATGTAAATGGAAATGTAAACTCTGTGCTTTTGGTGCATTTCTGTCACCTTATGTGCTTCAACAATGGACTTCCTTGTGAGTTAAGCTCCCATTAACGTTGGGCACATCTGCCAGTGCTCTGGCTGTCTGCTGTCTGTACCATTGACATAAACAGGAGATGTTCCCAAAGCTGCTTTCACTTTCTGAAGAGAAGCAGCAAAAAGGAAGGCCAAATTATTCTTTTTTTCTAATATGTGTTTTGGATTCATGGAAAGATAAATATCAGACGTTTTACTGCAGCTTCTGAAGGTTTTGTGCACAGTTGTTCTGGGCAGAAAATAAAACTGACTGTTTGCATCTTTAATATGACAGAAAATATTTGGCCCAAGTTTGCACTGCAAAGAAAATAATAGCTGAGTTCTGTGTAAACTAGAAAATTTTCCATTCACAGTCTGAGGCTTATGGCAGATAATGTTACATCTCTTTCCAAGTTTCCATGGAAATTGCACTCCATTTGGTTTTTTATTATTATTATTTCACTGAAGTCCAAAAGGGCTCTGGTCAGACACTGCACAGGAGAGAGGACATCTGCCCTGCACAATCACAGGCTATTTTAATGAGGCTGCAGAGAGGCTCCAAACCATTTTTTCCCCCTCTAATAATTCTGTGCTGTTGGACTCCTTTTTTAACTCCTGTGAGATAAATGGGCTTTATTGCACTTCCTCATGTTCAACTCCTAATGAACTTCCTTCCATGAGCTCCCTATGACAGAGAAGTGAGTCTGTAAAGTCATGGGAAAAATATATCCCCGAGTAAATAGTGTATGTGTCTGGTTGTGATGATCAGAAAGAGAGGAAAACACTCAGACTCTTCACAGAATGAAATATATGACTGGAAATTTGAGCCTTTTTATTCAAATTTAGAAACCCACACACACAGAGTTGTGAAGTCCATCCTATGGATCCAGTTTGGGTTTGCTGTGCTTGGGTGGTTCACTGGTGGGTTATTGATGTGAGGGCACAGAGCTGCAATTAGGAGGAGAGTTGAGGGCACCAGGAGAAGTGCAGAGATAAAATCCTGGCCTCAGTCAAATTTGGGTGATTTCAAACCTGTGTCGTCTCACTGAATGGGATTCTTAAAAAAATGTACTTAACCTTACTTACCACATGTTTCTGATCAGAAGGGTGATATTATTCCCCAATATTTCCTCTCTCCTGTTTTCTTATATCCTATTTCGGATCAGTATTTAATAGTTTCTATTCTGGTGAAATAATTGTGGTAATGGGTTACATTTTGTCTTTGTAAGTTCCCTGTGGTATTATAGTTTGACATTTTATTTTATTGCTAATTCTACAGAGCTGATCTATGTGCTGATTAAAATTGCTGCCAGACTGTATTCTGGAAGAGCTGCATGTGAGTGATGGGATTCTCTTAATCTTTCTTATCCCAGCAAGGCTGTAAAGGTCTTTTTTTTTCTTTTTTTTTTTTTTTTTTTCAGAATTTTCTTTAATTAAGAACAGCATCTGTGGGACCAGAAATCTGAGATGTAAATTGGCAACAGGCTCAGTGTGTGTTACAGGGAAATCAACCTACATGTCTGGAATCAGCCAAACATACTCAAAATCATCCTGAATAGGAACAGGCTTTACCATGACAAGAAGGCACAGAGCCTTAGTCAGTCAGGTGGGGATCTTGCTGTTTATGTAATCACTGTAGCCAAATTTCACTTCTGTTTAGTATAATCCTGGAAATCGAAATTTGTTTTCTTTCTGAGCAATTTGGCCACCTATTTTTATTTACATTTCCAAACAGATAATTTGTTCAAAATGCTTTGCCACATGGCAGC